AAAAAAATACAAAATAGAATAAGGGTGCTGTGATATAACTGCAAAAGAAAACTGCAAAGCATTCACGAGTACTACTAGTAAGTGGAACGGTCATATATCGCATGTTAATGAAAAATTAGAGAATATTGGAGACTTGTCCATAGGCATCAACATATAAAAGTCTATCGTGAGTAGCACTTGATATTAAATGAAAAACAACATTCTTCGGGAAAAGAAAACTCATTGGATGTAATTGGCTCGAGCCTTTCTACCTAACACAAACAGCTAGATATGATTTTTCATAAGTTGGTGAATAACAAGACTTGTGCAATTTATTTAAATTAAACATTTTACTGGACCATTTTGTAAGCACACGAGTACAACGTAGGATACAACTATAATCTGCTTGCAACTTGAACTCAGAATACCATACGAGATATATGGGCTTTATTTTTATGGTTTATTACCGAGACGGATGTGAAGTATGTTGAGGAAAACTCCTATTGATTTTGAAGTTGACAAAACCTTCCATGTTATTATAAATCTGATACTTATTCTGAACTATTTTATTCCAGGTATGTATATATATTCTGGAAGCTCAGAAGGAAGTTTTTCAGACTTTACAAGCTGGCAAAATACGAAGTTCATAACTTATTGAAGACCCACATAATCTAAGTTTTGAGACGCAGACGCAGAAGTTATTCAGATGCAGATGCAGACGCAAAAATTATTCAGACGCAGACGCAGACGCAGAATTTCTTCAGACGCAGAACTCAAAACGAAACATAACAGCTAGTGATCTGGCATGGATTTCACAGAAGGAAAGTTTTGATTGTCTCAATCTAAGGCTATAATTGATTGACAATCAAATACTACAACAAGTATGCATTACAACGGATAAAGCTCTACTTATGGAAACCAAGATTCTGATTGTATGAGTGACCAGAATCAGCGGGATTCAGAATCTGTCATCCAACGGCTACTCAATCATTTTTATACAAATCTGTCCAAGGTAAAGATTGGAAGGTGATCCTCTGAAAGCTGTCCAACGGCTAGTTTAGAAGTGGAGGAGTATTTAAGGAGATCAACGAGCAGCAGAAGGTAGAACAGAATCAAGAATCAACAAGTCCAAAGTCTGAGCATACTCCGATCATTTATCTTGTCTTTCTGAGCCAAAAATTAAGATCTTGAGGAATACTTTGTAAGAGTGATTGTATGAGATAGAGAGTCCTATCATACACAAGAGTGCTGTCACACAGAATCTGTAATTTCTCTTGATTACATAGTGAAATCCAGCCGGTAGGCTGTCAGCATGGGAGAGTGGACGTAGGCTTGCTATAAGCCGAACTACTATAAATTTGTGTGCAGTTTTTCTATCCCTTATCTCTTATCTTACATACTGCACATCAAGAGCACTGTCTATAAACTGTCTTGAATCTGAATTTTATTCAGACTCAACTGTGATCTTTCATTTCTGCATAAATTATTTAAGATCACCTATTCACTCCCCTCTAGGTGATCCTTGCTAACTACATCAATTGGTATCAGAGCAGGTTGCTCATTTATTGAAGTGTTTTACTTCTGAGCTAACGATCTATATGCCTAGCTTGAGTACTCCAGGTCTCATTGAAGGACAAAGCAACAACAGACCATCATATTTCGATGGCTAGGAATATAGTGTCTGGAAGAATAAGATGAAGGCATTCATAAAGTCAATTGATCACATACAATGGGATGTCATCATTAGAGGAGTCAATCCAAAATCTTCTGATTCAAAAGAAAAGGCAGACGGAAGCAAAGCAGCAAATCCTCCATTATCTCAAACTGAGATATCTAGAAGAGAAGCATTAGATTTCAAAGCAATTTATTCTTTCTATTGTGCCTTATTACCTATTGAATATAAAAAAAATTGCTGCTTGTGAATCAGCCAAGGAAATCTGGGATATTCTCCACACTACTTATGAAGGAACAGATCGAGACAAGAAAACTCAAATCAATCTTTTGCTTGGTCAATATGAATCCTTCAAAATGAAGCCTGGAGAATCAATTGCTGATATGTATGACAGGCTTGCTGACATAGTAAACGGTCTTGCATATCAAGGACAACCAGTCCCAGATGCGATGAAAGTCAACAAACTAAGGCTTTTTCAGCTGAAAGTCAATATGAATCCTTAAAAGTGACGTCTTTTTCTCCGGTGGCCCTATACAAAAGAAAATTAATGCATTTCGAGGAAATAAGAATGTTCACCTTTTGCTGTATTTTCAGCTGCGCCAAAAAACGGAAAAATCCAGGCGTGTTACCTCCTTGAGAACTTAAAGGGAGAGAGATGTCCCAAGAATCTCCGCTGCCCATCCAAAAGCCTTCACTGGGTGTTCATTCTCTCGCTGATATTGCCATTTCCACTAAAGCTTGACGAGCACTACTTCAATCAAACTGGAAGAGAAATCTGTAATATGTGTGTTTTGAGATGTGAGGAGAAAGGTGGAGTGATAAACGAGGTACATATGGGGGTTGAGAAGATACAGGACGAGGTGGTGATGACGTACTTAGTGAGCAAACTGAACCAGGCTCTAGACGTCATCATCCCTTCCCCCCCCCCCCCTTTTTTTTTTTTGGTCGAACCTTCCCCCTGTTTTTGACCAGTCAACTTTTGCACGAGAATTTTGTCGTTTTGGGCTGCCAGGAAAAAGAGAGAAACATCATCTTAACCAAATGAAAAAAGAGAGAGAGAGAGAGAGAGAAAAAGACAGCAAAATCCACTTTTCCTTGCACAGATTTGTATTTAAAACATTGCCATACCAATTGATTTAGTGCAATATAGTCAAACACTAACTTATACTACTAATAGTTGAAATTTCATATTTGAACGCTATACTTGTGACCAAAAACTCGACTATAGTACACGAAATATCCTAAGTCAATCTTGTGGCAACTTATGCAGGACCTGTTCTTTCTTGAAAGTTAATTGATTTAGTGCAGTATAGTCAAACTAGAGATAAATGCACCTTGAAAGATTCTACCTATGATAACCAATGTCTTTTGCATTGATTAATTTGTATAAAAAAGTTGAACGCTTCTCGACTATAATATACGAAATATGCGAAGATAATCTTGTGACCTCTTATGCAGGACCTGTTCTTTCTTGAAAGTTAATTGATTTAGTGCAGTATAGTCAAACTAGATATAAATGCACCTTGAAAGATTCTACCTGTGATGACCAATGTCTTTTGCATTGATTAATTTGTATAAAAAAGTTGAACGCTTTTGCATCTTCTAATGGTTTAGCATTGTCAATAATTGTCTCGGGCACTCAACCATACTCGATATGAAACATTTTTTTTATGTCAAATGCATCAATCGCATACAAAACAACAAGGATGGCCAACGTAATTAAGATCGCGAGCCAACTCGTGAAATCCCACGGATTCGCAAGTTGAAACTCAGTAACCTTGTCAACTCGTTCGAGATCTCGTAGTATGACTAAGTTCGAGGCGGGATCGCGAGTCAACCCGCCAAAAACACGTCGCTCGCCGCCCTGTCTCGAGGCCCATTTCGGTGCATCTGAGTGTACTTTCGTCGAAAGTCCTGGGCTTCAAATAGATTGAAGTGGACTCAGGCCCACTTTGCCCCCTGATCGGCTATTGAATTTGCATCAGTCAGGACTTAGAAGTTCGGTGCGTAGCTCTTAATAGACCCAAGCACAATCACACCTTCACAGAGCCCGGATGTCGGACGGGTACAACTTGCTCAGCATTCCTTCATTTTTAGCAAACGATCAATATTTTTTTTTTACCATCAACTCTTTTCTTCACCTTTTCCTCAGGAAAGAGGAAATGTCACATGTTAGACCCATAGAAGGAATAAAAGGAAAGGGAAAAAAAGTAAGTGTTGACTTGGGAGAGCGGGCTACTAGTTCGCATCACTATATCGGCCCAATAAATGTTGTCGCGGCAGTCCAATTCAGAAATATATTCATAATGTGGCGATACATGTAATGAAAGGACTACAATGATCAAACTTTTAGAATTCAATGATTAGATTGTACAAAAAAAAAATTCAAGAATCACATTGAACAAGGAAAAAAAGTTCAAGGATCACCCATGTTATTACCTCTGTTTTTTTGTTAGTTATTAGGAGGGGCAGAAAAATGGGGGCGAGTTCGTTAGTAGTGTTTTAGAAAGAATTGCGTTAGCTTTATTGAGGGTAGCATTTTAGCTTAGATTCCTTAAGGGTTTAAATTAGAGAGGGCAACGTTTTATATTAGATATGTTCTTGGAAATCGAAAAGTTTTAGAACAAATGTCTTCAGGATATTGTAAAAATAGATAGAACTAAATTCAAAGTGTTGATAATAGAATGGAAGTTGAAATGTTTTAGATTACAAGTATCTTGGGTAAAATCCAAATTTTAAATGTTTAGAAACAGAAAGATTCTTGAATTATAGACCGTATTTAGCAATTGAATTGAATAGATCCTCTAAACTTACCACCAACGTACAATTTGCATAAGCTTTAAAAAAATTCTGAAGTAGCCCTCTAAGAAAGTTTCATTTATTTGTTTTCCTTTGTAAATCTTTGAGAATGGACAAATGCATTAGTTTTATATGTGTATATATATTGATATGTATTTTTGGAAGAAAATGACAATTTTGTAAGCTATAAATATCAACTATTTTTTAGTGTAATTTAAAGTCTAATTACAAGTCTCATGGTTGTGTCGATTTAAAAAGTGGAGGATGCAAAGTGGTGTTTCGACAAATGTTAGCGAGGATTTTTTTTTTTGAAATTCCAATAAATTATTTTCAGATATACACCAATATTTTTTCTCAATTTTTCATGATACGTTCTTTATATAGTATGGCGTATTATGTGGGTTAAGCACACTGTTGATCCTTTAACAATTGTCATCAAATGAGAAATTGGATCTTGAAATTTCTTGTTGATCGACCAAATCCCCCGTGTTGTTTAGTTTTTTCTTCACACAGTCACAGAAATGTTGAGAAAGGGCATTGGCTTTGAGGGCATGAATTTGTTACTACACATAAAGGAACTCTTTTGCATACTTCCAGAGGATAGCAACCTAAAACGTGGTTGCTATTAATACAAAGTAGTGGTCGTTATTCCAAAGGGGACAATGATATGTTATCACCATACTAAGTAGAAGCAAATTATGAAATGGAAATTTCATCTTGGTAGTAAAACATGACCCTGAAAAAACAAGATAAAGAAAGCTGCTCTTCATCCACGCTCAACCAAGTAGTCATCCATCGAAATGATCATTGGAATGGCTTCAATGAATTGGCGATGTCAATGACAAATCGATACTTAACATCTGCTTTTAACAAGCGCTCCATTGCAGTGTTCACATAATCCATAGGAATAACCTCAATATCTGCAACTATGTTGTGCTTCGCTGCAAAATCGATCATGTCTTGCGTCTCCTTAATCCCTCCAATGCAACTTCCTCCCACAATCTTTCTACCTGATATTATAAGTCTTATTCGTTACTTTTTCAGTCCATGAAAAACTCAGAGTTAACCTTTTACTAAAACAAAAAAAGTATCATAATCCTATTTTGGACACCAAATGAAGGCAGTCTTTTCCAAGAAGAACTATAAAATTTTAAAAGACTTGCTTAGGCTTACCCATGAGGAGTGGCATAGCAAGTAGCTCGAGTGGCTTCGCTGGTGCACCAACCATGACAAGTTTTCCGTTAGATTTCAAGAGACCGATCAAAGGCAAAAGAGCATGTACAGCTGAGACTGTGTCGATGATGCCATCCATTGTACCAATTGCAGACTGCAATTAATAAAAGATATTAATATGAATCTTTATTCATTTATCCTTACCCCTATGCATGACAAAAAAAAATTTGCTGTGACTCTTAACATACTTGCATCTCTTCTGTATTACGGCTAACCAAGAATCCGTCAGCTCCCAAATGGTCCACGGCTTCCTTCTTCTTATTAGGTGAGGTACTGATGACAGTCACTTTGAGGCCCATGGCCTTAGCAAACTTTACAGCCATGTGCCCGAGCCCACCAAGCCCCACAACCCCCAAGTGCGTTCCAGCCTTATCAAGAGCATAGTACTTCAATGGACTGTAGACAGTAATCCCAGCACAAAGGAGAGGAGCACCACCATCAAGCGGCAAATTGTCGGGGATTTTAATTACGAAATGCTCATCCGATACCATAATATCCGAGTAACCACCATAAGTGATGGTTCCATCACAGTCCTTTGCACCATAAGACAAGATCATTTTGGGGCAATAATTCTCAAGATCGTCTTTGCAATTCGCACAAGAGCGACATGATCCGACCATACACCCAACACCCACTTTGTTCCCAACTTTGAATTTTGTCACTTTGGTGCCTACTTCAGTGACAACACCAACAATCTCATGCCTGCATACAACGGCTAATTAGTATAATTACTTCCTCAACGATTTCCATTTATGTATCTAAGAAAAAGGAAAAGGATGATAATTTTTAGAGCTCATACCCGGGTAATACAGGATAAGAAGTTTTTCCCCATTCGTTTTTGACATTGTGGAGATCGGAATGGCATATACCACAGTACAATACCTTAAAAGTCACGTCTTTTTCTCCGGTGGCCCTATAAAAAAAGACAAAGACAATTGATGCATTTCGAAAAAAAAGATGTTCACCTTTGTTGTACATTCAGCTGCACCAAAAAACAGAAACGAAGGAAAGAAAAATCGAGGCATATTACCTTCTTGAGAACTTGAAGGGAGAGAGATGTCCTGAAGAATCTCTGGCTGCCCATCCAAAAGCCTTCACTGGGTGTTCGTTCTCTGACGACATTGCCATTTCACCAAGCTTGACGAGCACTGCTTCAAATCAAACTGGAAGAGAATTTTGTAGTTTGTGTGTTTTGAGATACAGAGAGAAAGTTGATGAGAGGGGGGGTGGGAAGCGAGGAATATATAGGGCTTGAGAAGGCATAGGAAGAGGCGGCGATGACGTGCTTAGTGAGCAAACTGAACCGGACACAGTGCGTCATCATTGCTTCCCAATTTTTTGACTAGTCCTACCCTTGCACCGAACGCTACCGTCTGCTTTTGTGCTCGTGTCGGCTCTGCTAGCAGCCAAAAAGAGAGACACGTCATCTATAGCATCCAATTGGTAAAATAAAAAGGAAAAGAAATAAACAGAAACAATATGCATCCTCTAAACTGATTTAAATGGCAAAGGCAATGAATATAGCACACCCGTTTTAGCTGCAGGTGCCAAAATTATATGCCCTTTTAGAATGTAGAAGAAGAAAACGTGGTATCACTTTCTTTTTTTTATATATATTTTTCTTTTTTTCCAATTGGATGCTATAGTTTTTGCGCAGATTTGGATGCTACAGTCGAACATTCGGAGTGCAAAAAGATAGAAGCTTCTTGCAAAATTGAATTTGTCTGGTTCAATTCGCTCAAAAAGAGACAATTCTCGTGCAAAGGTTGACTGGTCAAAAAATGGGAAGAGATTAGGACCCACGATGTCTGCCCAGTTTGCTCACTAAGTATGTCATCGCCAGCTCTTCCAGTGTCTGCTCAAGCCCTATGCATACCTCGCTTCTCACACCCATCTCATCACCAATCTCTTCCTACACCAAAACACACAAATAAAATTATTAGTTTGTATAGATCGCAACCGTACTTTAGGTTGCTTTCGCTTTGAGTAGGCAATTCTCTTAATGACTTAGTTCCCTGTACGCGTAGTAAGAAATTCATGAACTCAAAAGCCAACATCCTTTTTCAACTATTATTTCATTAATTTGGGGCTGTGTCAAAATACTGAAAACAAGAATTAGAACTTGATTATACAAAATGAAGTTTTGAAAAATCAGTTGCACATTTAGTAAGAGCTAGCGATCAGAAGTACTCAATGAACATATCTCACCGTTTAAGTATATGTAACGAAAAATTGAGAGAAAACGTCTATAGGTAACCTTGTCGAAAATATTCTATGGAAATAAAAGAAAATTGCCATTACAATTTGCCTTTATTTCACTTTGCATCTATACTTTTAAAATCAACACTTTACATCTTAAGTTTTGTAATGAGAATTCAAATTACGAATGAAATTAGTTCACATCATATCGTACTTCATAACATTTTTCAATTAATTACAAAATGTCAAAGTCACTCTTCTAACCTTCCCCAATTAAGTACAATTGAGTCATAAAACTTGTCATGAAAGTACAATTGATTATTAAAACTATTAAAAAGTGCAATTAAGTCTTAAAACTTGTCACGAGAGTACAATTGAGTCATAAAACTTTTAAAAAGTATAATCTTGTCCTAAAATTTATCAAATTGGTTCAATCAAGTGCTTTCATGGATTGCACTTGTTAAAAGTTTTAAGACTCAATTGCATATTTGTGATAAGTTTTAGGACTTGATTGCACTATTTGAAAGTTTTACGACTTGATTGTGCTTTTGTGATAAGTTTTAGGATTTGATTGCACTTTTTGAAAGTTTTAGAATTAAATTACACTTTCGTGATAAGTTTTAGGACTTTTGGTATACTTACTTCACAAAATATAGAAGATAATTTTGTTTAGAGTGCTACTGCTAGCTAGGAGTCTTTTAGAGTGTATGTCAATTGAATGTAATGGGTAACTTTAAGGAACTATTGAATTCAATTGATTGATAATGATACGAGAGTGTAAACTGAATCAACACAGGCCAATCCCTACTCACTTTCTGGAACACCAGATTTCTTCTATAGCTTCTGCTTGTCCGCCATATCTTGAATCAATGATTTGGATGATTCCTAGTGTATTTAGATAGGCTTTCGAGTATGTATTTCGTACCTTAGATTTGTCTGATTATTAAGATAATGTCCCATTCATGTTAAGGTTTCTGAGTCTGTATTTCGATTTGCTTTGCTTCGCTATGAATTCTATATACTTCTCAAGTATTCTTTTAAGTAATAAATACAATTTTATTTCGACCAAAAAAAATTCACCACCAGCCCCCAAATCTCTCTTTCTTTCCCATTTCTCCTCATTTCCTATTTAGTTCCACCAAATTAGCTTGATCGCTCCGTCTATTTTGCCAAATTCAGCCAAATCCCCTTCATTTATTTACTTGATCCCGTTGAATATTTTCCCTATTTTAGTAAATTCTAGAATTGCTTCTAAAAATCGTCGGGGGTGTGAACTAGGCAAGTTAGTGAACCTCACAGATAAGAAGGAAAAAGGGTGATTTATGTGTGGTTCGCTGGACCTTGATCACGGTGAGCCCATGGCCGAGTCTCGTCAATTATTCAATGGAGCCCGGGAAAGAATCATAAGAGGAAGGTCAAATTTCACTATGGATTGGGAGAAAATGGCAATTTGCTAAGCTATAATATCAACTGATGTTTCGAGTAATTTAAAGTCTAATTATGAGTCGGAAAAATGACACAAACGGTCTTTAAACTTTGGCGCAATGTACAATGTGGTCATTGAATTTTTAATTTATTCAATGTAGTCCCTAAAATTTAATCCAATATGTAATGTGGTCCCTGAATTTTTAATTTGTTTAATGTAATCCCTGAACTTATGGTAAATGTTCAATTTATTCTCTGAACTATATGAAAATGTTCAGTGTAGTCCTTTCATTAATTCAAGTTCAGGGACTACATTGAATAAATTAAAAGTTCATGGACTAAATTGCACATTGGGTCAAAGTTTAAGGACTGTTTGTATCATTATCCCTTATGAGTCTCACGGTGCAAATTGTTGATTTTAATACTAGAGGATGCGAGGGACTAATGAGACAAAAATTAATGAGGATTTTTTGAAACTTCATTTAAATATTTTCGGATCTACATATATTAAAGGTAAGCATGGTTCAGGCGGGCTGTTCCCAACATGGAATCGGGAACCGCCCACTAAGGACCGGTTCTGAGAAATTGAAATCGGGAGCCGGATGGTCCGGTTCCCGGGTGGATCCATGGAACCGGTCCCATCAAGTTTCACATAAATAGAGGTGACCGAGAGTGAGAGGGAAAGGCAATGAACGGCTAGAGGCGCGGCCATGAGTTAATGGGAGTTGAGAGTCGAGCTTCAAATTAGGGATTTTATGACTTTCATTTTTCTAAAAATGTTTTCTTTTTTTTGTTTGGTTGAAATTTTTCTTAAAAATTATATATATGTACATATATTACCGATCCGGTTCAGTCTGGGTGGGCGATTCCATGTCTAGAATTGGGAACCAGATCGGTACTCATCGATTTTTGTAAATTAGAATCGAAAACCGGACCGGTCCTCACAGGAGCTGCCGGTTTCGAGCCGGTCTGGTCAGGTTCCGGGCCGTTCTTGGTTCCTTTGCACACCCTCAACATATATAGAGTTTTTCTCGATTATCGAATGAGAAATTCGATTGTGAAACTTTTTGTTGATCGACCAAATCCTCTGAGTTGTTTAGTTTCTATTCTCGCACCTCACAAAAAGATTGTTGAGAAAGGGAATTGGCTTTGAAAGCATGAATTTCTCACTAAACATAGAGGAACTCTTGTGACTATGTGGACTGCATACTCTAGAGGAAAGAAACCCATAATGTGATTAGGGGTAAGTGGTTTTAGTTTCCGTACAGGTTTTATTTGAAAATAGATTCCTCATTTTTTGAAACCTAAAACTTACTTTACATACTGTAGAACCTGGAATGTACCCTGTCACAAGTTCTAAGGTTGGTTCCAAAATCTACTTAGGTTTCCACCCGTATTATTAATTGAACAATTGCCGTGAATCATCATCTTTAATAACTATCACTTGTTGCTACAAATCAACTGACCACAATTTATATTTAAACACACGAAGAATATGAAACATTAACAAAGTAAAAATCTCAGTCATAAAATAGAAGCTCAGATTAGTGATTTCAAATTATACACTCGTTATCGGACACCATGAAATACCACATGATCACATGAAGACATAGACAAAAAAAAAATACAAAAATTTGTTCCAAGTTCTACCTACCTATAACCTAAAACTTATCTGTCGAAACAGGTTTCTCTATTTTTGGAACCTGAAACGTATCTTGCATCTCCTGCAACCTAAAACTGAACAGGTTCCCACCGGTTCAGTTCTTTGGTTCCAAATTCTACCACGAAACCATACTCACCCCTAAACGTAATTGTTATTTAGACAAAGTAGTTATCGTTATTCCAAAGGGGACAATGAAATGATATCACCAAACTAAGTGGAAGCAAATTATGAAATGGAAAAATCATCTTAGTAGTAAAACACGGCCCTGAAAAAACAAGATAAAGAAAGCTAATCTTCATCCATGCTCAGCCAAGTAGTAATCCATTGGGATGATCATCATAATGGCTTCAATGAATTGGCAATATCGATGACAAATCTATAGTTAACATCTAATTTTAACAAGCGTTCCATGGCAATGTTCACAAAATCCGTAGGAATTAGCTCAATATGTGCGACTATGTCGTGCTTTGTTGCGAAATCAATCATCTCTTGCGTCTACTTAATCCCTCCAATGCCACTTCGTCCCACAATCTTTCGACTTGATGTTATAAGTCTTATTTTTAACTTTTTGTATCTATGAAAAACTCAAAGCTAACCTTTTACTAAAACTAAAAAGCATCCCTCAACATCAAAATGAAGGCAATATTTCACAAGAAGAACTATATAATTTTAAAAGACCTGCTTAGGCTTACCTTTGAGGATCGGCGTGGCAAGTAAATCAAGTGGCTTCTCAGGTACACCAATCATGACAAGCTTTCCATTAGTTTTCAAGAGACCGATCAGAGGCAAAAGAGCAGACACAACGGAAACTGTGTCAATGATGCCATCCATTGCGCCCATTGCAGACTCTAGTTAATAAAGGATAATAACATTAGTTCGTATTCATTTATCCTTACCCCTATGCATGATCTAAGAAAATAATTTGT